GGCTGATATAAGCATCTCATAGAGAAAGCAGTTCATTTTAAGCTGATAGCAACTTAACTTCAATTGTCTCCAAAAGCTCTACCCTTTTACTCTCCACTTTTATATTTTGTCATTACATTACCTCTTTTTATATTGTGTATTTAATATATTATAGTAGCTATAGTTACTTTTAATGTTCTTCATTTTTAACATTTATACTATATTGAAGTGGTTAAAACATCATGCTATTACAGAATTGAAGTTTTGTATGTATCTATGTATTTACCTTTATCACTATGTGTATGCTTTCATACGTTTTCATGTCACGTTGATGTCATTTTGTTTAGGCTTTAAAAAGTCCTTTCAGCATTTTTTTGCAAAGCAGGTCTTGTGGTGATGAGCAACCTCAGCTTTTGTGTTTCTAGGAAAGTCTATTTCTCCTTCCTATATGAAATATAACTTTGTAGGATAGAATATTCTTGCCTGGCAGTTTTTTCTTTCAACACTGACTATATCATTCCACTCTCACCTGGCTGTAGGATGTCTGCTGAGAAAATTGTTGAGGGTTCATAATGGAGGTTCGTTTGTAGGTTACAATCTTTTTTCCTTGGTTGTTTTTCTCTTTTTTCTTTGACTTTTGACAGTTTTATTATAATGTGTCTTGGAGAAGTTCTTTTGGCATGATATAGTAGGGTGATCTGTTACTTTTTTGATCTTGGATGTTTAAATCTCTCCTCAGGTTTTGGAAGTTCCCATGATTATTTCTTTAAATAACATTTCTACCCACTTCTCCATCTATTTTCCTTCTGAACCTCAGTTATTCTAATTTTGTTTTGATGAAATCCCATGGATTATGTAGGCTTTCTTCTCTCTTTTTCATTCTTTTTTCTTTGCTCTGCTCTAACTGCAGTATTTTAAACTTCCTGTCCTCTAGCTCACTTCTCTGCCTTCCATTTGCTCTACTCTACTGCTGATGCTCACTATTCCATTGTTCAGTTCATTACTCAAATTCTTCAGTGTCACAATTTCTGTTTGGTTCATTTTTATAATTTCTATCTTTTTGGTGAGTATCTCATTTTGTTCATTTTTTTTCCTGATCTCCTTGAATTGTTTTTCTGAGTTTTCTTGTAGTTCATTGAGTTTGTTCAAAACAGCTACTTTAAAATCTTCATCAGCTAGGTCACAAAATTTTGTGCCTTTCAGGTTGTTTCTTGGAGAATTATTGTTATTTTCAGGTGTTGAAACATTTTCTTGATATTTCATGTTTCTTATAAGTTTGTGTTATTACTTTAGCATTTGAAGTAGTAGACATCTCCTTAAACCTTTACTATTTGCCTCAGGTAGGTTATACAGTCATTTGTGATGTTATATCTGAGTTTTTCTCTGCCTTTATATGGGTACACGTGCTCCACTCTTCTTGCTCCCTCTTTTAGGAGCAATAATTCGTAAGCTATTGTGTTTTCTCTGGTTCTTACCACTAACAAGCCTGGCTACCTAAAATCTCTTTTTTGTTTTCCAGTATGTGGCACTACAGCCCATGTTTGTGGTTTCTCCTTTGTCCACAGATGCAGGTCTGTTTTTCCAAGAGCATTCAGCTTACCAGATTTATTCTCACTGCTGCTCTCAAAAAGTGACAAGGAGCCAGCTGCAGAGTGGGGAAAGGTGTGATTTACCACTGGGAGGTGGGTTTTCCCATGGATCCGGTTGGGAAGTCTTATGGTGAGGTACTCCTAGAGTACCACAGGGGTAGACTTTCTGCTGAAATTCTGAGTGCAGTCAGCACGAATTATCCCCTTTTACTGTACTTTGATTTTATTCACTCCTTTCTCATCTCCCTTCTCCTTACAGTCATAGACTACTCGCCTCTGTTGTCTACGTAGTTCTGGAGAGAAATAGGTTTCTCCAGCTGCATCCAGCACAACCAAGTTAGCCTGGGAACTTACTCACTATTCTCTTATCCCTACAGAAGAGTTTGCCTCTGCTGAATAGTTTAGCTTGTACAGTCTTGTTTGAGCAGAGGATGGTGCTGGGAATTCTCCTCTCATTGTCTCCACTGAGACCAAATTTATACTTTTTTCTTCTCCAATAGTGTGCTGGAATCCTCACCCAGCAAGACTGGGCTTCCACAAAGTCTCTCTCATTCATGGCTGTCTGCCCAAGTCAGTACTCTCCAGGCTTTCCCTGACTGTGGCCAAGATGTGTTGGTGCAAGTTCCCTGGTTCCTGCTGGCTTGGTAGCCCGTAATGAGGTCTGTCTGCCTATTACTGGGTGCATAGGTTGGCAAGATTCCTCCTGAGTCCCTTGGTATACGATGCTGAATATTACAATCCACACAAAGGAGTTTTTGTTCTTGGATAGATGTTCAATTCATTATTACTAAAGCAGGACAAAAAGGAGAAATGTCTTTTGTTGCTATGATGCTGATGACAATTCCTCCTCTGATATTTTTTTAACTCATCCATCTACTTTGGTAGATATACAGTCTAAATATAATCACTATTGTGATGCTCTGCAAAAGAAACTATTCAAAATTTTCATTTAAAGAGATTCTGAGCTGGTGTTGCCCCCAAAGGATCTGAGAAAAGTAATATAGATTATTTCTGAAAGAATACATTTTAAACTCAAGTATCAATGATCTCACAGATAAATTTTAAAGAAACTGGAACTTAAGATTAAAAAATCACTGAGCACACAAATAAGCAAGCCATCTGAGCAACAGCGAGCAATAACATCAAACTATATAAGGAGATTTGCAAAACTATGTATTTATATTATTAGAAAATAATAATTTAACTAAGTATGTTTAAAATGTTTAAGTAAAGGATACTACTGAAAGTATGATGGAACAATAAGAGACTTTCAAAGCTGGCTATTTGGGTAAAGAACAAAGTGCAACCTGTAGAGAGAAAATAAAATATTATGATTGGAATTTAAAATTCAATGGGTGAATTAAACAGACAATTAGCACAACTTAGAGTGAATTTGCTGGAAGAGAGATCTTAAAAACTAAACAGAACACAGTAGAGAAATACAAATAATGCATGTCTCGGTGATGTGGAAGGTAGAGCAAAAAGACTCAACATACATCTAATTGGGGTTCCAGAAGGATATAACAGAAATATAGAGGAAATTTTCAGAGTATGGTCTGTGTTTGGTAGATCAGACTTAAGGCTACCACTTGAATGAATGAACATTAGAGGAAGCTGTAAATATCTCCATGAGTAGATGGAGAAGATCAGTACATATCATAGCTGCTTAATAAATCTTTTTGTTGTCATGATTGTTGGTTATGATGATGGTGATGATGAATAATACAATTTTCTGCTTTCTTCTCACAAAATTCTCCCTCCTTTCAGTCTCAGTGTGGACAGAAACACTCCTAAGTCTAGGATGATAAATACATTGTCTGCTACCATTTCTCCTTCCATATTGGTGGCAAATCTTGATTTTCTTTTCTAATTAATTTCTTAATACTTTCAGAATAGTTCTTTAAAAATGTGTCATGAAGCAATAACTGATGCCATTGTGAGAAAAGAATTCTTCTACCTTACTTCTCAAACTGTAGCCTCATACTTCTGTGGGGATTTTCTATTTTCATTCATTTTTGGAAATAAGAGGCTGGGAAATGGTTGGGGAGAAGGAGGATACTCTGGATGTCTAATTTGTAGTTCATAGACATATTTTATTCCATTAATTCCATAGCTTTTCTGCAGGGAAATCTCCAAGATTTCTACTTTTACCCATATACGCAACTTCCAGGCAACACTTGACATCTATTTTATACCTTGCATGGCTTCCCATGATTTTCTTTCTAGTTTGAGTTCATCTGAATAAAAGCGTTTGTGTTGGGAGATGTTCTATGACCATCTGGAGAGATGACAGCTGTTGCATCTTGAAGATGGCATACAATGCCCGAGGTAAATATATTTTTTTGTTTATTTAACATTTGTCCTGAAGACATCATGCTTGTCTTCCCTGAACTCGCTCCAGTGAGGAAAAGAGAAAGAATTTCCAGAAATCCTGGCTCAGTTTGCTAATCCCCATGTCCTTTGCCTAAGCATCCAAACTCTTACAGATCAGTTCAAGTCACTCTACTTTCTAGGAGAAGTCTTAACCTGTGCACCATGAATGGACTTGAGGCTTGAAAATCCAATGAAACCGTATGCAAAGGTGGTAAGCGGTTGCAGTTTTCTGGGTAAAGGGTCCAGATTTTCCAACATTTTCAGACATATCACTGACCTAAAGAAGATCAAGAATCACCCTCTTAGATAATTTGAGTTTGAGGAAGGACAAATCTACACCTGCAAGGAAGGAAGCACAGTGGCTCTTTCAACCTTCTCTTATCTAACTTCTCAGGAGCCTTTCTAGAGCCAAAAGCTGGTTAAGTCACATTCATTTCCAAGCTGTTTCTTAGTGTGTGACTCTCCCCACCATCCCATTACCTTATTCTTGTATCTCTCTAGGCTTTATAAAAACAGAAAGGCAGTTATAGAATTGCCTACCTTCCTGGATTACAGATTAATTGAATATTAGTTCTCAACGAGATTTTAAAGAGCACCTACTTCGACATCCTCATTTGACATATGAGGCCGAGCATTATTCAGGGTCTTCTTCCAGCATTGAATTAATGTCGAGCCATGGCTGATATTATCAGAGTCATTCTGTTTCATCATATTAAGAGATAACAGTATTTTCCTAATTTAGACTATTGCCAATATTCACATATCTGTAAAATCTAGAATGGGAAAACATGAAATTAATATACTTTAGAGGATAATGTACTAATGATATCCATTTACAGTCTTCTGTCTCCAAGAAGTATGATAATTTTATGCAAGGGAAATTTTCAGTTGAGTTTGGTGATTACACATGGAAGACAGAAAAATCAAAATTGGTAATCACAATGTGTATTTAATCAGCTGCGGACTATAAAGGAATAAAAGTAGTTCACTTTGTTTTATTGCAAATGAATCCATTTCGTTCGCTCATCATTTTTTCAGCAGATGGTACCACACAGGCCCATGGAAGAGGATAGAAATGAGACTTTTGTGGTCATGTTTGTTCTCCTGGGACTCTCAGACAAAAAAGAGGTGCAGCTTATGCTCTTTCCAATCTTCCTAGTGATCTACCTTGTGACTCTCATCTGGAACCTGGGTCTCATCATCCTTATCAGGATGGACTCCCAACTGCACACACCTATGTACTTTTTCCTCAGTTTCCTGTCATTTATAGACATGTGCTATTCTTCTTCTGCCACCCCAAGGATGCTTTCAGACTTCCTAAAAGAGGAAAAAGTGATTTCATTCATTACCTGTGCCACTCAGTACTTTGTTGGGTCTTGGATGGCTCATGCTGAGTGCTGCCTGTTGGCCACCATGGCCTATGACAGATATGTTGCTATTGGTAGGCCTCTGCAGTACTCAGCCGTTATGTCTCCCAGCCTCTGTCAGAAGATGGTTGCTTGGACCTATGGGACTGGATTCCTTGGTAGCATAATTCAAACGGTCTCTTGCTTTCATCTGTACTACTGTGGGCCCAATACCATTCCAAATTTCTTCTGTGACATAACCCATATCATTTCCCTGTCTTGTTCCAATCCCTTCATCAGCCAAATGATTCTTTTTATGGAATCTATTTTTGTTGGGTTTAGTTCTTTCCTTGTTATCCTCTTATCCTATGCTTTCATTGCAGCTTCCATCCTGAAAATATCCTCAGTCAAAGGTAGTGCCAAGGCCTTCAATACCTGTGCCTCCCATCTGGCAGTTGTCACGATATTCTATGGCACAGGCTTCTCTGTGTATCTGCATCGTAGCTCTAGCCACAATGAGAAGCAGGACAAGGTGCTGTCAGTGTTCTACGTTGTCCTCATCCCCATGTTAAACCCTCTTATCTATAGTCTGAGGAACAAGGAGATCAAAGAGGCCCTCAAGAGGGTGATAAAGAGGGCAACACATTTGCCCCATTAAGAACAATATTTTTGCAGGTGTTATTTCCCCAATATGGAAAACATGGGTAAGAATATGTAACTGATCTTTTGTAGGTTGGAAGAATAGCTAGGTAGAGATAATAAATGAAAACTAGGCTCCTTGATTCCTGGTGCCATTATGTTTAGCTGCACTACCAAGTGAACTGTCTGAGGCAGCATCACCAGCATTGAATTCAGTTAAAAAGCCATGTTTTCATGATTATACCCAGGTACATAAACCCTATGTTTTTAGAACAGAAATTCTGACTGATATTATATATAGAGAATGGACAAGATCCTAGGAAGCTACACAGATGGTTCTTTCTTCTATAATTTTTAAATGTCTTTTATTTATTTTTAATTATTAATCATTTGTTTATATTTCAACAAAATAAAATAATGTAATGTATAACATTAAATATGTGAAAATTAAAAGTAATTTTACAATGAAAACTTTTTACTCAATCCTAAACAGAGAGAGTGAGTTTGAGAAGAAGGGACACAGAAAGAGAGAGAGAGAAGACCAGATGGGAAGGAAGAGGAGCAGAGAGGTGGAGAGGAGAGGGAAAAAAAAGGAGAAAAGAGGGAGAAAGATCGATCTGGCTTTATTCCCAAATAACCCTGTTCCCTCCATCTTACTCCTCAAGCCTTCTTATGCAGAGAATTGTGAAAATGGATAGGAGAAAGTAATGGTAGTAAGAAGGGGAACTTTTAAGCTCAAGAGTTGGGGAGATTCTCAGAGGTTAGAAAGAAGTCAAAGTCATCAATTTATGGGCACAGGTAGCTTCCCATAGTAGCCATCCCAGAGATCATGCAAAACTCAGTAATGAAGGCTGTCCTGGTTTGTCTAGAAAGGCAAAGTCCAAGTCCCAGAGATCTGAGCCCCCCAGGAATTCCAGGGACTTAAGTGTGAGCAAGGAACAGCAGAGCCACCAGACTTGGGGGTGCCATGGAAAATCAGAGTCCAACCAAGAGAATTTAAAGAAAACTTAAAAAGAGATCTTTTTCAGATGAGTTTATACACTTTCATGTTTATTGCATTAATATTTTGTAATACTTTAAGCTTCATTAGTTACATTGCATAGATGTGACTTTTTTCTATTAACATGTGAAAGTTGGCAGGTGAGAAATTATCCCCATTTTACAGATAGAAACTTTAGGCATATTGAGGTCTGCCACGTTCTTCCCAGTGCAGCAAAAATCCATGTAGAATCTCACAGTGTGTCATTTGTGGAACATAAATGGTTCTTACTGACCAGACTCATGTCCTCCATTGCTTGGCCATGGCACCCAAATTCTATACCTTTAGTGTTATATCTTTAGAACTGTCTTAAGAATCTGTTCAATTTAAAAGCTTAAATTAGAGGTCAGTCCCGTGGCTGAGTGGTTAAGTTCTCGCACTCTGCTTTGGTGGTCCAGGCTTTTGCCAGTTTGGATCCTGGGCGTGGACATGGCACTGCTTGTTAAGCCATGCTGAGGTGGTGTCCCACATAGCACAACCAGAAGCACTCACAACTATAATATACAACTATGTACTGCGGGGCTTTGGGGAGAATAAGAAGGGGAAAAAAATGAAAAAAGAAGATTGACAACAGATGTTAGCTCAGGTGCCAATCTTTAATAAAATAAATAAATAAAATAAAGCCTTAAATTATTATGGTCCTTACCAGGGGGAATATATGACTGCTAGCCTATTAACAACAGTTAAATTACATAATTAATCCACTGCTCCACCCACTTCTTTCTCCTTAGAAGTTAGCTGAAGTAGATTAAACCAAGAATGAGACCTTCCTAAAAACTTCTCAGTATCCCTAGTAATGGCAGGGTAGATGAGCTTCATCTAAAAAAAAAGACTGGAAAAGATTGTAGGAATGATTCTAAGTAGATATTTTTAATGAAGTATTAGTAATACTGCATAATATGTTGGAAAGAAGTCCAATTCAGAACACATGAATTAAACCTACTATTAATAGAAGACACACTGCTTATTTCAAAGTGCAATTAACGCTTTATAAGCATTATCTGATTTCATTCTATGAAGAGCTACTTGCTCTATGAAGTAGCTACCACTATCAGCCCTATTTTATTGGTGATAATACTGAGGCTTGGAAAGGTTAATTTGCTGAAGGTCACACAACCAGCGAGTGGAAAGCTGGCGTTCAACCCAGATTGGCTGATATGAATGCCCATGGTTGTAACCACGAGAAGTTGTGGCTTTGTCATGAATTAGTTTTATTGTATTCCATATTGCCTTGATTTCCTCACTGATGAGTAGGAAATCAGCCATGTCTGCCTCACAGCACTGCTGTGATGATTGATTCAGGTCAGGGAGTTAAGAAAATATGTATATCCAAAATGGAAGTGCTTTGTAAACATTTCTAATCTAAAGTGTTTATTTATCTCATTTGTTGTTATAAAGCTGTATTACCAGCCAGCTGTGTCATCTTGGGCAAATCTCTTAGTTTCGCTGGCTTCAGATCCTCACCCGGAAATTGATGGTATTAGACTAAATGATCTCTAGGTCCTTTCCGGCTGAAATGACTCCAACTTTGTTAAAAGAAAAGCTATAATCATGAGATCATAATAGGACCATGGGGATGTGGGGAATTGATTCAGAAGGGACATGGCAAAGTGGGGTGTGAAATTATCAGGGGAAAAACCCCATGACAACTGTGACTCCAGAGAGCAAGTATTCTGGAGAGTTTTCTCCACAATTGTCTTTCTCCTTTCAACTCTGCTCTAATATGACGTTTAAGAGGATCTCCAATTGTGGGCATCTCTCTGACTGTGAGTGGACAGCCAATTTCATGACCAAAAGCACCCATCTTGGAGTGTAATAGGGCCCACCTGGAAAATTTCTTTGGGAAAGAAATAAGCAATTTCAACCTTTGGGACGAATTCTGTCTTTCTGGGGGATTTGGGTCAAGGTCATAGGGCAAGATTTATAGAGAGAGTGGATTCTGTTCTTTCTCAATATTTGTGTGATTCTTCCTACAGGACCTACATGGAGCAAGATTATGGTCCTCAGTCTCTCCCATTCTTTAATTCTTCCCTCTTTCACACTTCTAAACCCTCCACTCAGGGCTCTTCCTTGGATTCTCTTTCTCCTTACTCAAATTCTCTGAACTTCAGTGAAAAGAATAATTCCTAAACAAAAATGTCAGGTATCACTCTGTGGTGAGGGACAGATGTTGAGTTCTAGTTCCCAATTTCTTAAGTTTATGATTTTTCACTTTGTTAATATCTGTTTTTTACCTGTAAATTGTGGATAACGGCATTATCTATAATCTAATGAGACAATGTCTGTAAAGCTTAACACACTGTATAAGTTAATAATTGAGCACTGAATCAAAGATATTAATTTGATGAATTTCAGGAGAATGAAGATAAAACATGCTTACCTATGTTACCCAACTTTATCCAGTATAATTTAATTTTTCTCTTGGAGGTTCTGCTTTTGTATAATAATAATTACTTTGATTTCCATTTCAGTGCATACCTTTGACTCCAAATTTCTGGGTAGCAAAAGTCAAGCTGGTCATTTCATAAAGATATGACAAAGTATTCATGTATAATTCTATTGGTCTTTTGAAATACTACAAATAGCTGTCCATTGCCATCTTTGCAAGCCCTGGAGAGCTGGAGACACTTGCCTGGATGACACAGATATAAGAGATGCCCCATTCCAAGCACAGGTAGTGTTGGTCTAACTCTCCCCTTTATCCTTTCACTACACTCTTCTTCATTCAGCAACATTCTTCGCTTTCTTAACCCAATTTTATGCACTGTACAAAGTTGCAAATGGTCATAGCCTTTGTAGATGAGATTTGGAAAATGTTTTGATTTGCTGTATCCCCACAGTAATGTCTCCAACAAATATTTACATCAATCACCTTTTCTTCTACAAACTGTCTTGGGAGATGGTGAACACATGCAAAAAATTAATCAAAGAGAATGAGTATATTCAGAATTTTGTTTCTTTTCCTCTAGCTTACTAAATTTTAAAAACATAGATTTTTAGGATAAATTTTGTCATGCAAAAGTAAAACAATCCACAACTCCTCACTGTTTTTTGGAATACATTTAGTTATGGCTACCTCTGTTACTAGAATGTAGTAAGAAAGCAAAGAATTTTAATGCAATTTTTTGATCAAAAGTTTGACTTATTTTCCCTGAATTGATCAATTATGTTGGTATTTCAGGGATGTTGTGTGCGAGAGTTGTTATTTCAAAACATTTTCATTGAATCTAATTCATCTTGGATAAAATATCTGATAAATCCTATTGGCAGCACTATTCTAAGAGTAAACAGAAAGATTTCAACATTCATAAAATATAATTGAAATGAAACAAAAATAAGATATTTTTAGTTTCACTCCAAAAATAATGTATTCAATACATATTTATAGAGTTACGTAAGTATTAGGAAATGAGACACTTATCATGAAACAGGGAAACATCTCCACTAGATCATGTTTTGTAAATAGTGAATATCATCATCTCAAGAGGACCTGGTGGGGCAACATAAAAAGTGGCGCCATGAGAATACAATCGAGCTGAGTGAGAGACAATGGAAAAACACAAGATAGAAATAAATACAATCACTTATGAGTGGTATTCTTGAATCTAGGCTTAGAGGCCATCTAATTTAGGAAATAATTTTATGAAGAGCTCCTTGATGCTTCACTATTAGTTCTGCCTTATTTTCTTTTCACAGACAGGAATGAAACTGCTAACATGTATTGAGTCCTTACTGTTTTAAGCCATTTATGTCATTCAATTCCTGCAACAACCCAATGAAATGTTAAGTATTATTAGCCCCTTTTATAGATGAGGCAATTGAGGCACAGAGAGGTTAATAACTTGCTAAGGGTCACAGGGCCAGTAGCTAAAAGTCAGGAAAGTCAAAGTCTATTCTTTGTGTCATTCTTTCTCTCTCTTTCTCTCTCTGTAAATTCTCTCATTCTCTCTCTCCACCATTCTCCTTTTCCCTCTCCCTCT